TTTATACTGACGTTCGGTTCTTTTATTTATTAGTGTAGCAGCGTTGGCAATGTATTTTTGCTGAAACCTAATGTAAAATTTGGAAGTGCATCAGCTGTGATTTGGTAGCACTGCATAAAGGAGCAGAATCTTGCAAAAACATGAAGGTAAATCTGGAACCTTCATAAGAACTTCAGATGTCTGACAAGTAAAAGTCAGTTGTTGGCTTACTCTTAGATGTCACATAGTCTTATTTTCCACTGCAGCAGCAATAAAAAAAAAGAAGCTTAAAACCCCGCTCTTCACTACCTGATGTCTGTGTTTCCATTTTAAATTTCCTCCTTTCTGTTAAGCAATGGGATTCACTTTTCCCTAATCGTTCAATTATGAACTCTTCGCAAAAGCTAGACTTCCAAACTAGTTGCCAAGTCACAAATCCTGTTACATGATCAGAATCACATTTAGAGAATAGTCTTATTATGCTAGCTGTAAAATATTTAACAGCTGGGGAGCCGTAAAAGTTACAGCAAGTGGTTGCCAACTGTCACTCACTGATAGCCCTGTGTTAGCCTGGTGACCTGCCCAGGTTGTACCCTGCTTCTCCTGCTATGACAGCTGGGAAAGGCTCCAGCCTCCCGTAATGCTGAATGGATAAGCAGAAGTGAATGGATGAATGGGATACACTGAATGCTGAAACCTTACATTCATGTATACATTACAGATATTAACTGTACTTTGCTCTGTACTGTACACATGTCTTCTATAAGTCACACTCTAAATGCAGCACTTTACTGTCATTTTTGAATCCACGGCATCTTTCTGCATCTAACCACGATCATAGCCCCAATTCTAACCCTGTGCAATCCTGTGGTTTTAAGATAAGCACTGACATGTAAATCGAAATGAGGCAACAAGAGAGTTTAATTGATTTAACAGGGCTACATTTGAATAAATAAAAAGTTCAGCTAACATTAATCCAAACGTTAATAAAATGACTGCATTTAGCATTTATGTGCATTTAGCTAAAATGTGTTAGCATCAGTTGCAGTTTTGTTTGTCTATATAATAATATAGTGGAAATGTTAATATATATTTATGTGCATCAAATTAAAAAAAGAATTTACTGAATTACAGCATTGTACATTGCAAAGTTTTTATAGTATGATTATTGTACTGCAAAAATACATTTTCTCTTGCTGTAGAAGTGAAATACAGTTTTGATACTGCAGCTTGGAGTCACTGTAACTTAGTAGTAGCCTGTTTATTTACAATGTGCAATGCTGAAATAACCACTTCTCTCTTCAGTGCCTTGAAGTAAAGAGCTTCAGCCCACACTTGAGGTTCTGCTGTGATATTTCAGATTTTGTGCCTTTTTAGCTTTTTACAGCATTTTTTTCTTTGGGAACCAGACTGTCTGGTAATATTTAAAAACTCCACCCCCATATCTGGCCGCACTCTTCCCCTCCCTCTCACTCTGACCCTCTTCCTTTACAGTTCACCGTTCACTGTGGGACTCTACACCGGACCTGTTGCATCTGAAGGAGAGGATATTCAGGACACCAGTTTATGATTACGACTCCAAAGGCGTCCCGCGGAAGGAACAGCACGCATGATGCGTTTGCGGCGCTGCGGCTGTTCAATGAAAGAAGAGACGCGCAGCAGAAGAGATGGGTACCGTTCCTGGACTTTCACCTACCCGGTCTTGGGGAAAATGCTGTGAGCGCGCCGTGCTGGCTCTACCTGTAGTGGTGCTTTGGATTCAGCTTGGCGCCGCTTTTAACTTGGACACGGAGAACCGCGTCGTCTTCACTGGACCCCCGGGGAGTTACTTCGGCTATTCTGTGGAATTTTTCAAGAACTCATCCAGGTAAAGTGTCAGGAACGGCCACAGAGCTGGATTCTTTCTCCAGGTCAGCGA